ACAGTGTTCTTTACTAAAGTGTTTGTTAAGAGATTGGTAATCTGGTGATGTAGCTTGTAGATTGTTCAGGTTCTTTCTGCTCCCTGCTTTTTGATCCTTTAATTACTCGTCTTGAATTCTGCCAGCCACCAAGAGGGGTAAAAATGCAACTTTCATGACTTAAGTCAGATTCCAAAAAAATTTGAAAAAGGGCAAAGTTTTAAAGTTACCTGCAGACATCATAGAGAATCTTGAGGGGTCATAGCAATACCAGATGTGAAGCAGAGAGAATTAGTACTGAAGCACAAGGGTTTGAACTCGTTCTGCTTGAAAGTTGCCCAGCCATTGAGAAAGCAGAAGTGGCAGGAAGGTAGTGTTAAAGAAAAAGCGATGCTGACACTTTTTAAAGAGACCACTGTGACGGGGTTTTGCACTACGGGAGAGAGATCAGGCTCAACTCCAGATGCACCAACCACAGGTGGGGATTTATAGCCAGGGAGGAGAGTGGCGGGTTGGTGGATGAAAAATTCCTAGTAATTCTGGTAATTCTTTGCTAAGTGTACCTAACAGGATTATTACTGGAAAGAACAGTTTCATACTATTCCAAAACTAAAGACATCTCTTGGTAGACACCTGCAGTAGTTAACTTGAATACTAGTTACCAGTCTTACATGGCAGGTCAATCTATTGTTCCCTGAGGTTACATTTCGTAACCAGCTTATCATCTTGAAAGGTTCACCAGGAGGTTACACTGTTTAAAGTGCCTTATAAATACTGTTATGGAATTGTTTTTGATAGTTGTGGTGAGCCCCTGCTAATGTATCAACTTTTGGAAAATTCTAGAATAAAATCTGTAGTCAGATGCTATGGCAGGTGGCCCAGAACATTGGGTCCTTGATGACCCTTTACCTGTGAATTGAGGGGAACCCAGAACCTTTCAGGAAAAATTGGCACTGCTCCTTTCTCTTCCCTCCTATCATAGGCCCTTAAATTTTGAGTGGCAAGGAGTTGGAGTTGTACCTTCCCTCTGTGACCTTCTGGTAGCACCAGGTAGTCCATGGGTTCAATGCAGAGCCATCTGCTCTATCAGGCAGCCAGCCTTGGCTAAGGTGGGTTTGTTCACTAGATTGGGGTAGGGGAAAGTAATTCCACTTTCTGGGGTTTGTGGGGAGGGGGATGTGTTCATTCGCTGAGAGTAAACCCACTGGAGAAGATGGTTTTAACCAAAATGTGTGACTGAGGCAAGAATCTCAATCATTCGAGGTTTACTGAGCCAGAGGTTGAGGGTGTATCCAGGAAAAACAATAGTCACAAATGAGTGGCCATGTACTCTGAAGAGGTTTTCAATACATGTTTTTAAAGGAGGGAAGGAAGGATGGGGAAGGATAGGCCTGAGGTGAATGGTTACATTCCTGTGAGACTTTAGTCCAGTACATTTACATTTTACAGAGGATAAGGTGAACCTTTTGAAGAAAGGAAGAACCAGTTATGGGTCTCAGAGTAGGTGGATGAATTACTGATCTCATCTTGTTTTTGTGCAGCATCTGGGAATTTAAGCTTGTAATGGACGTTATCAGTGTGAAATTGAACAGATTGCAGACCTAAAGTTGCAATTGGCATGTCCTTGTTTTATGGGACGATGTACATCTTAAAGGTTTTGAGGCCAGCAAAGATTTTCCTTATGAACGACTTGTGGAAACAGCCATCTGGAGATGCCTAAAGCCTTTTGCCTTTCCTGGAAGGGTGGTGGGAGTGTGTGGGGTAAGTCTGGCTAATGTAGAATGCAACAAGACAGGGTTGTGAAGTAGCAGCTGTTAATTTGGGGAGAGGATGGGGCTTCACTTGACTCAGCCTCTAGGCTTAACTTTCCCTTTGGCATAAGGAGTTTGGAGGTCCCGAGATTTTTTTATTTTCCTTTACATTGGGTATGTGTTTGTTAAATGAGTGGACGTCGTACTTTAGAATATTCAGATAAGATGTTGAGTAGACAATTGTAAAAGAGCATCGAGAGCTTAGAAAACAGTAGGAAAGGTTGAGATCTAGAAGTCACAAGGTTTCTAAAACCTAAAGCCCTCAGTGTCAGGAGATGTGTGTGGGTTTTAACGTGGAGTTTGTCATTATATTGTCCTGGGGTAGTGAGTTCCCTGTCATTGGCAGTCATTGTTTGTAAAATAAAACTAGGCTGTTGATCTCACAGGCCTCTTCTAACTCTGAAAATTTGTTCTAAAGAAGAAAATATATTCTCTCAAAATTTCGTGGGCTAGTCTATAGGAAAAAAAAGATCCTTTAGTAATGGTTTGGGGTATATGATGTCATGAAAGTAATATTCTTTTTACTGTCCAAGTCAGTAATTTACTGTGTAGAGAATTGGAAATAGACCAGAGGCAGTTTCCTAGAATAGGTCATTATTTGGTGTTAGCAATTGGTCGTTCATGAATCTGCATACCCTTTGTTTCCTTAAGGTAACTCCCTTAGGTCTGTCAAGGTAGAAGTCATGTGGTCAAATCAAATGGAAACACAAGTGTGTTAGGTATTGGATTCATTTTCCTGTCCCCAAGGCACCTCTGTTTTGGTAATGCCGGCAGAAGACATACATGCAGCCAACGATCATATGAAAAAAAGCTCTACATCACTGATTATTAGAGAAATGCAAATCAAAACCACAATGCGATTCCATCCTACACTAGTCAGAATGGCTAGTAAAAAGTCAAACAATAACAGATGCTGGCTAGTTTGTGGAGAAAAAGAAACAAACACTGCTGGTGGAAGTGTAAATTAGTTTAGCCATTGTGGAAGACAATGTGGTGATTCCTCAAAGACCTAAAGACAGAAATACCATTCGACCCAGCAGTCCCATTACTGGGTATACAGCTAGTGCTCAACTTATGACCACGATTGGGACCGGCAGGCCGGTCGTAACACGATTTGGTCGTAAGTTGAGTAGGCTATATGTACAGTTGAAATGGTGCATGCGGAGATGGTAGTGCTGCTGGAAGCTGGTCCGCACTGTCATACGCCCAGCTGGGCAACGTTTGCGCTGCCAGACGCGGAGCAGTCGTGGCTAGCGATTGTGGTCGTAAAGTCGAATGGTCGTAAGTTGCATAGGTCGTAAGTCGATCAATCAATTCCTGTATACTCAAAGGAATATAAATTATTCTGTTATAAAGACACATGCACATGTATGTTCATTGCAACGCTATTCACAATAGCAAAGACATGGAATCAACCTGAATGCCCATCAGTGATAAACTGGATAAAGAAAAATCGTACATTTATACCATGGAATACCATGCAGCCATAAAAAAAGAATGAGATCATGTCTTTTGCAGGGACACGAATGGAGCTGGAGGCCATTATCATTAGCAAACCTACACAGAGACAGAAAAGCAAATACTGCATGTTCTCACTTATACGTGGGAGCTAAATGATGAAAATACATGATCACAAAGAGGAGCACAACAGACACTGGGGCCTACCAGAGGGTGGAGGGTGGGAGGAGGGACAGGATCAAGAAAAATAACTAATGGATACTGGGCTTATTACCTGGGTGATGAAATACTTTGCACAGCAAATCCCCATGACACACATTTGCCTGTGTAACAAACGACATGTACATGTATCCCTGAACTTAAAAGTTAAAAAAAAAATCAAATTGATAGTCTGTAAATAAGCTGCCAGAGGCTCCTGTGAAGCCTGGGAGCTGTGGCCAGAGCCGGTAGGCTGTCTCTGTTACACTCTGCCGCCTCCTAGTGGTAGCAGCTTTTAGTCCTTGTCACAGAATTGAACACTTTCCTGCTTTGGAAGGAACTTTTTTTTTTTTTTTTTTTTTTTTCCCATTTATTTATTTTATTGCATTTTAGGTTTTGGGGTACATGTGAAGAACATGCAAAATTGTTGCATAGGAACACACGTGGCAGTGTGATTTGCTGCCTTCCTCCCCATCACCTACATCTGGCATTTCTCCCCTTGCTATCTCTCCCCAGCTTCCCACCCCCCTGGAAGGAACTTTTAAAGGCTAATTCACCTTTACTCCCACTGGCTTCCCTGGAGGAGGTGAATAAAGCCTGTATTTCAGTGATGTAGTAGTTTCCTGAGACCACTGTAACAAAGTTGCCCAAATTTGGTGGCCTAAAACCAGAAATTTATTCTGCACAGTTCAGGAGGCCAGAAGTCTGAAATGGAGATAGCAGTAAGGGTAGTGCTACCTTGGAAGGCTCTAGGGGAGAGTCTGTTCTTTTTCTTTCTCTGCCGCTCCCGTTTCTGCCTCTGTGGTCACACTGCCTTTTCTTCTCTGTCTCTCCGTTGTTAATCTTTGATTATGAGGACACTGTCATTGGATTTAGGGCCCATCTGGATAAGCCAGATGATTTCATTGCAAGATCCTTACTGTGAGTAACATAGTGAGACCCCATCTCTACAAAAAAAAAAAAAAAATTAAAAAATATCCTTAATTACATCTGCAAAAATCCTTTTTCCAAATAAGCCTACATGTCTAGGTTTCAGAGATTTGATATGGATATACCTTTTGGAGGGGCAGGGGGCACTATTCACCACACTTTAGGTGGTTAGCACCTTTTCTCTCCTTTAAAGAAAAAAAAATCTTTAAATTCTCACTGCTGCTACCCCAGCTCTGTGTAAACCAGTGTTTCCTTTTGTTCCTGACCGGGAGGCCCCGTGCACCTTGGTTCACCAAGGGTTGCTGCTCAGTACATGGCTGCTTTATTATTTGTGTTGATTGTAGTATTTCTTAATACAAATAGCCATTTAGTTTTTTTAATAGAAAAAAATTGTAATTAAGATTTTGCATAATGTTTCTAAAGAATGGAAAACTTGATAAGATCGAAGAAGATGTAAAATAAGATTTTAAAAATGTAAAAAAATAGAAGACTTGATAGCTTAAGCCACTAAATTGCCCTTAACAAGGAGCGCAAGTCATTAACAGTAACATTTCATTTTGCAACATGTATAAAATAATTTCTGTTTTAAGGCTGTCTTTAACTGTTGCCCTTGTTTCTCTGCAGGTCTTTTAGACAACCCTGAACTTCGTGTGGTCCTTGTCTTTGGTTATAATTGCTGTAAGGTGGGAGCCAATAATTTTCTGCAGCAAGTAGTCAGCACTTTCAGTGATATGAATATCATCTTGGCTGGAGGCCAGGTGGACAACCTGTCATCACTGACTTCTGAAAAGTATGTCTTGTGTGCTTCTGATTTCCTCTGCGAATGAAGGGACATGGTCTCAGGTTTTGTCACTGTGGGGTTCACAATTTAAAAAACATGTTTAAAGAATTGTTAAGATGATAGTTTATTCCATTTTGCAGTAGACATTGGCTGTGGGGCTTACTCAACATAATTCTGCTTATGGTTGGAGAATTACATTTTTAGATACATTGTCCTTTAAGAACTTCTTAGTTGGACTCACATTCTCCCTAAAATTGATGTTGCCATTGCCTGTTGATCTTTCCTGTGACAGGTGTGGTACTCTGTGTGACCTCGATATGTCACTTCCTCTCTCGTGTCCTCCTTTAGAGGAAACACATGGTTAAAGTGTATCTTCATGGCAGAACTTCTCAGAGCCTTTAATATGCTCCATGCTTTGGAAATCTGGCAGGGGAATGGTATTACCTGTGACAGTTCCCATGCAGGTCCTACTGATTTTTGGAAATTCTGTATTAGATCTTTTGAAAGGCTTTTTCAAGATCAAAAATTGTGGATCTTTGATTTTTGTTACTAAGGGTTTTGCTTTCAAAGATAAAAATATTTGCTCTTCTGTCTTGGAAGCCATTCCTTCCTTTCCATCTTGCATGAAAGTGCATACCATTTTGAGTTTGAACCAATTAGGTGGACATAAATGTCATTTGTTTCTAGCAGGAAAATGAGACCCTACCCCACCCTCAATGCTCGTAGACGCTAGCATTTGTTTCCCACTGTTTAATATTCCCATCCTAGAGTGGTGACATGGGGACAGACTGTTGGAGACCAGTATCTGTAAGAATAACGTAAGCCATCCTAGTTACATTTGCTCTTCTGGTAGTCTCTACCCAGAATAGACCTAGGAAAATAGCTAAAGTTGAGGTCCCTGGACTGCCAGGGAGGAGGAAGAGAGGAAAGCCAAGTTCTTTGAATTCCAGGCAGTAGGATGGCAAACACCGGGTGTCGTGCATACATACACCGAATTCTTGGTGGCTAAGTTATTTCCCCTCTTGCCTAATTTTCCCTGTGTCTTTGCTATTAACTTTTAAATTGTATATCAATAGGGCAGTGGTGATTCCACATACAGTGTACCTTTGAAATGCAGATATCTCACTCAGACTTATAACATCTGGGGCACTAGCTTGTTAGTGTAGCTGTTTGTATATCATCTGCTTTTTATTCCTAATATGAGAAACACCCCTCCCCCATCATTACTCTTCACATGACCCATTAATTCTAATGTGGTCTTCATATTCTATCAGCAAGTGGGTAAGAGAAACCATTGAGTAAATGGGTGCTTCATTTTAATAAAGTCCAGATAACCCACTGACCCAGGGCCCCAAAAGGAAGGTGAATAATTCTTTGAGGCAAGATTGACAAGTGTATTAACAATTGTGTACCAAAGAGGAAATGTGATAAATATGATAGTTTTAAAAGCAGCAGAGGACTTCAGAAGATGGACTTTGCCCCTCAGAAACTCATTTTACTACTAGCTAGCCTTATCATCTTAGTCACTTAACCTTTTTTGAGTCTTAGTTTCTCACTAGTCCAGTGAATCTTGCCCATTTTATAGATTCAGATGTTGGAAGCATGACAGAAATGTAACATACTTGTTTCTCCCCTAGTGGATGTTTACTATATTATGCTTTATAACTCTTATCAATGTTGCATTTTCTTTTGTAAGGATAAAATACTTCATTTTTTAATAATACTAGGCAAATATAAACAGAAAGCATGAGTTTTTAACCATCAAATTAAGCTGAACTCTAGACTCAAAGCAATAAACAAGACAAAAAAAAATCATATTTTCTAGTGGACTAGACATAAAGCTAAAACTTGTAGAGTTAATAGGTTTTAAAAATTATCCTCTAAGACTGGGCACAGTGGCTCATCCCTGTAATCCCAGAACTTTGGGAGGCTGAGGCAGAAGGATTACTTGAGCCCAGGAGTTTGAGACCAGCCTGAGCAACATAGTGAGATCCAATCTTTACAAAATATTTACAGATTATCCAGGTGTGGTGACATATATCTGTAGTCCCAGCTACTTGAGAGACTCAGGCAGGGGGATTGCTTTATTCCAGGAGTTTGAGGCTGCAATGAGCTATGATTGTGCCACTGCACGTCAGCCTAGCTGACAGAGAACCTGTCTCTAAAAAATAAAATCACCCTCCATTATTTTATTTTTAATATACCTCTTTCAGAATTTGACAGCTGAAGTGGGGGAAAAAGACATTAACAGTGCAAATAATAGCAGAAGGCTTCATTTAATGGATATCTTTGTGTATATTAATAAAATTATAAGGTTCCTTTAAAGGAAGTCAGAAAGTAAGGAAGCTACCTTCTAATAACTGAATATGGGTTTCAGCAATTGTTATGGATGTGCATTGCCCCTTTGTATTTGACTGAAAAAAAATGGTGGCTTCTCTTGATCTGCCTTGTGCATTTTTTATGTATTAATTTTAATAACTTTTAACCCTAGTTTACTCACCTGTGAGGGTGCGCCCCAGATTGACCATAGGCTGCTAAAGGCAGCAGCCTCCCATCAGTGAATCGGAAGGATTTTGCTTTTATACTTAAAAATTTTAATGGTCCATGAGATATTGCCACTTTTCTAACTTAATTTTTCAGGAACCCTCTGGATATTGATGCCACTGGTGTGGTTGGACTGTCGTTTAGTGGACACCGAATCCAGAGTGCCACTGTGCTCCTCAGCGAGGACGTCAATGATGAGAAGACTGCTGAGGCTGCAATGCAGCGCCTCAAAGCGGCCAACATTCCAGAGCAGAACACCATTGGCTTCATGTTTGCATGTGTTGGCAGGGGCTTTCAGTATTACAGAGCCAAGGGGAATGTTGAGGCTGATGCATTTAGAAAGTATTTTCCTAGTGTGCCCTTATTCGGCTTCTTTGGAAATGGAGAAATTGGATGTGATCGCATAGTCACTGGGAACTTTATATTGAGGAAATGTAATGAGGTAAAAGATGATGATCTGTTTCATAGCTATACAACCATAATGGCACTCATACATCTGGGGTCATCTAAATAAAGCCATCTTTAAAGTGGCTTTCATAAAATATAACTTTTGGGTTCTGCCTTTTTGAGAAAATGGAAACTTGGTCTATGTGTATTTCAAACAAAAATAACTTAAGATACATCTGTTTTGTACCTTTGGTTGATGCTCTAAGATCACACGAAGGGTAGTTTTTAATATATTAGATGAAGGACAACTTTGGACATAACACAGACTAGGAGTTGAGAGCTTTTGCGTCAGGCACAAGCAGAGTGATTATAGTTTTGCTTGTGTTGCACCAGATCATATACCTGCTGAGTAACGTGACCTTAAATAGTCTTCCTCCATAGGAAGGGCAAAAGGGGATTCATCAGTATGGTAGAGATTTAAGACATTCCCTGAGTACCCCTTGCAATGTTAGGTGATGTCTTTTAGCAGAATGATGAATACCTTTTTTTCTCCTATAGTAAAGGAGAAAAATATATTGATGGCTTGAGAAATTTTTCTCTGCTTTTCAATTTTATGAATTTTTTCAGAAGTTGTGATAATATTACTTACTTTTTACTTGACAAAAATTAAAGAACTATTTTTGTTTTGGTCAGATAAATTGACAAGACTAATCAGTATTTTATTATAAGTAAAACATTTTACTTTTTTCCTTAAAAATCTTTTTTTTTTCTTTTCATCTAGGGCTACATAGCTAACTGGTAGACCAGAGAATTACATCATCTTATTTTGGTTTTATACCAATAAAACATACCTTGGAACTCATTCAGAAAATGTTTTGCATTTCATTGCTTTTGGTGGATAAACAAAGGAAGTAAACTAATCCTTTATAAATGAAAACCCAGAATAGCTATTTGTCAGCTAGTCATTCCTGTCATATTCCCAGTAGAATGATTTTCAGGTTTGAATTTCTATACAAATATCTAAATAAGAGATGCAGAGAGCACCAATTTTCCCTCAATATCGATTCTTTCCTTTTCACATAATGATAGAACCTTTGATTTTTCAGTTGGGTTTGCCTCCTAGAATAAAGACTACATTTCCCAGTCTCCCGTGCAGGTATGACTGCTCTGGACAGTGGAATGTGAGGGGAAATGATGTGTGTCCTTCAAAATGGCATGATCATTTTTTTGCCCCTTTCTCTATCCTGTTGCTTGGAATGTGGATCCGGTAGTGAGCCATCCTGGATCCTGCAGAGAAGGCAACACGCTGTTTGGAAGAAAACCACAGAAGGATCTTGGTCCCTGCACAACCTCATTGAAGAAACACCATAATTGGCCTGGACTATCCACCTCCAGACTGTTTTACACGAGAGAAATTAGTATATTCCATCTAATACACTATGATGTAACTAACGTTACTTTTGTTAACAGTCAGTGGTTTGTTCTAACAGGACAGTAGAACACTTGCAAGGTAAGTAAAATCAAATGTATTAACATTATTCCTGCTTTTCCTTTTTTAATCACTTTTATCCCCTTTTTTTAAAACTCAAAAGATTTTTCTCTTGCTATTTATATATGTGTGATAAAAATACTTAGAAGATTCCTTTAATTCATGGTTATTCTAAATCCTAGTTCCTGAGGAAAGTCCAAAGAAAAATTGGTCAAAACTTTTCATCTGTGAATATTTATATTTAGCTCTTGTTATTCAGCTATTATCAAAATACCTTAAAATTCTATTCCTTGAATGTGCTCATATAGCTCATAAGGCAAATATTTTTCAAACCTTTTTGGTCCCTGATATTAACCAGAGTTGGTTGAACAGTAGAGAAAAGGGATTTTTAAAACTGAAAATTATGAACAAAATGAGCCTTAGAATAGAATGGATTATTTTATTTTTTTTTTAATTTTTTTTTTTTTTGAGACGGAGTTTCACTCTTGTTACCCAGGCTGGAGTGCAATGGCACAATCTTGGCTCACCGCAACCTCCGCGTCCTGGGTTCAGGCAATTCTCCTGCCTCAGCCTCCTGAATAGCTGGGATTACAGGCATGCGCCACCATGCCCAGCTGATTTTTTGTATTTTTAGTAGAGACGGGGTTTCACCATGTTGACCAGGATGGTCTCGATCTCTTGACCTCATGATCCACCCGCCTCGGCCTCCCAAAGTACTGGGATTACAGGCGTGAGCCACCGCGCCCGGCCTTAGAATGGATTATTTTAAACAAATTAATACTCATATAAAATATTTCATCACATCTCAAAGGAGAGTCTAATACAGGATAATTTCATATGGTATTTAATGTTGTTACAGGGTTCCTTTTCATAGCTGAGCCTTTGGGGCTTGTTATGAATGGTAAAATCATTGTCACCTGGTTGCAACCTTACTGCAAAGTAGAAAGGGAAAAGTTGACCTGATAGAAATGATAGTAGTACTGATAAGAACAGAAGTCATTCTTCTTGCCTCTCAGAGTCCTTGAAGTTCTGCAAGGAAGAGAAATAACAATTTAACCGAAGTTAAATCTGCATAACTCATTTATTACGATTTTGAAAGGCTTGTCTTAAACAAAAGTGTTAAAGGAATATTAGCTAAAAACAAACTAAATTCCTAGAGATAACAATCATTGTAGTCCTCTGTGAAACTGAAAATGATGATGACATGAAAAAAATGTGAGCATAAAAAAGAGAAGTAAAGGTGTATCCTTAGCCTACTTACTAAGCTGACGATCAGATCATAGAATGCTTTATTTAATCAAGACATTTAAAAATACTTATTTCATCTGCATACTCTCAAAGCAAAATAATATCTGGGGCTATAGTTTCCTTTGTATAAGGCTTAAGCAAGGAATATATTTATTTCCATTACCTTTGATCCAAGTAAAGTCTAAGGAAGAGGGCAAGTAAACCTTGAAATTAAGACCTAGAAATAGACACACCTCTGCAGATTGATGAAAGCGGGCAATCCAGTAGGCCACTTTAAGTTATCTCAGTTTTGCTTAAAGCAAACCCTAACCTTCAACCTAGGAGTTCAGATAGCAAAAGATGTGCAGCTGGTTTATATTGCAGATTTAACAAAATGAACATGCAAAGAATTAAACTTTTACAAATCTGAGAACTTTCTGTGCAATGTGCAGAAATTTTTAAGAATATAAATGTGCTTTTTTCATTTTATACCCAGTCTGGCCCAGGTCTGCACTGCCATAAATTGAGTTTTAATGGGAACAGAAGACTCTAGATCCTTTTGTTAGGAAGAAATTATAAGATTTTAGATGATTGACTTGATTTGCATTTGTAGAAACTGGGTATGAATTGGCTTAATGAAAATCCTAAAATAATGAAAGAAGTGTTAGTAATAATATCCTTGTTAAATGAACAAAATGAACACTTACACTATATAAAGAGTGTGGTACCAGAAAGTTACTTTAATATTGACCCTATATAGGGAAGAATAATCAAATATTTGCAAGACATGTTATTTTTGTTTTGTATATTTAGCTTCCACCCTATGCCACAACTGAAGACAGGTCACAAGAACATAGGCTGCTACAAAGTAGGAAACTGGCAGAAGCCAATAAATATCATGTAGTAGTTTGGAAACTTTCATTTCTTAAAACAGACTTAAAGTTTTCACTCTGTAGTGACTGTTGTCACAGCCAGCAAAAATAGGCAAGATAGATTAATTTAGAAGAAATTGAAAGAAAATATATTCATTAATGTTGCCTTTAAATGGAAATGATGCGATTGAGGAGAATTTTGAGACCACTGACATTTTTCTAATTTTGACTAACCAAAATTTAATCACCGTACTTAATAAACATACTCTATTCAGGGTCTTGTTATAATACTGGAATTATAGGGAGATGATAAGGAGGAATAAGACGTAATTGACCCGAGCGACATCAGCAAAGTGGGTGGGCTTGGAAGCTGCAAGCTTTTGTTTCTCCATCAAAACATTAAAAACTGAGTAGCAGCTGTCTGAACAAACTTTGTTGGAGCTTTGGAAAACGCAAAGGTTTACAGCAGCCAAAAGAATGCCCAATCATCTTCAGAATGGTAGGAAAATTTTGTGACATTTTTACTGGCTCTTGCCCCAACTCCTCCCTGCACTGTGGCAGTGTTGAAGCAGCAGAAGCCCAGTTTCCTCCCTTGGAAAACAGAATAGACTTTTTTTTTTTTTTTTTTTGCAAATCACTGTGTCCATTTTTTTCTAACCCATCTGGGGATACCTGAAGGACTGACCCAAGGTCACATTTTTGTTTTGCCTAACTGGAAGGGTGGGCACTGCTTATAAAAGCTGCAAAGAACCACAGGTGTCTGGGGCAAAAGGTGATGAGTAGAAACATAAAATAGAACAACTAAGGCCCAGCGGAGAATTGGGGTTAGGACTTTTAGGAACAGTTATATATACAGGAGGGATTTAAAATGCGACATGGATGGCCAGGGAAAACATTTGCCCAGAACGTTCTAAGACCTAAGCTTTCACCTTGCTCTAGTCCCTACACTCAAAAGCAGGCCAAAGTACGTAGTGAAGGGTTACCTGGCACAAAGCCAATTTGTATAATCTAGGATAGCTCCTGGCATTCAAGGGAATTTGTCAAAATAGCTGAACATGACATAAAAGGAAGAGAGACTTCAGTGATCACACACAAAAGGAATCATCTTTTATAAAAATAGTTTGGAAAACTCTGAAAACAAATGGATAGCAGCTTTTAACAGTAAACAATCCAGAAAACCATGAGAAAAGGCAAGAATCTCACACCTAGAGTTACCGTAATAGTGAATACCCACTTCTCAAGAAAAAAATCGCAGGCCGTTCAGAGGAACAGGAAAATAATGCCCATTCAAAAGATCAAAATTAACTGACAGACACTGTCCTAATGAAGGACATGAAACTAGACAAATACTTTAAAACAACTCAAATAGGTCCAAAGAACTAAATGAAAGCATGAACAAAGAAAGGAAATCAGGAAAATGATAAATGAACAAAATCAGAATATCAACAGAGCTAGGCATTATAAAAAGAAATTCTGGAGGAGAAAAGTATAATAAATGAAATTTTCACTAGAGGGGTTCAGCAGCTGATATGAGCAGGTAGAAGAAAGAATCAGCAAACTTGAGATAGGATCATTGAACAATAAATCAAGCCTCCATTGTGGAAATTAACACACTCAACCAATGAGTAAAGAAGAAATCACAAGGGAAGCTAAAAAGGAAAATATAACATACCAAAATTTATAGGATGTAGTAAAAGCACTGCTAAAGGAGAGATTTATAGACATAAATGCTTACATTAAAAAAAAAAAAAAAAAAGGCCGGGCGCAGTGGCTCACGCCTGTAATCCCAGCACTTTGGGAGGCCAAGGTGGGCGGATCATGAGTTCAGGAGTTAAGAGACCATCCTGGCCAATATGGTGAAACCCCATCCCCCCCCAAAAAAAAAAAATCACGTTGGCTGGGCATGGTTGGCTCATGCCTGTAATCCCAGCACTTTGGGAGGCCAAGGTGAGGGGATCATGAGGTCGGGAGAGGGACCATCCTAACACAGTGAAACCCCATCTCTACTAAAAATACAAAAAATTAGCCAGGTGTGGTGGCATATGCCTGTAGTCCCAGCTACTTGGGAGGCTGAGGCAGGAGAATCGCTTGAACCCACGACGGGGAGGTTGTAGTGAGTGGAGATCGTGCCACTGCACTCCAGCCTGGGTGACAGAGCAAGACTCCATCTCAAAAACAACAACAACAACAAAACAACAACATCTCATGTCATCTGACTTTGCAACACTAAATCCAAAGCTAGCAGATGGAAGGAAATGAGATTAGAACAGATATAATAAATTGAATAAAGAATAGAAACATTAGAGAAAAATAAGTGAAACTACAAGTTCTTTAAAATACTACAAAGTTGAAAAACCTGTACCTAGATGGACTAAGAAAATAAAGAAGACTCAATTGCTAAAATATGAAAATGGGGACAGCATTCTAGATTCTATAAAAACAAAAAGGCTTATAAGAATACATTGGACAACCTAGATGAAATTGTCAAAATCCTAGAAATGCAAAACCTACCACTGCGGAAGTATGAAAAAAATTTAAAAATCTGAATAGAACTATAAT